AAAAAAAAAAAAAAAAAAAAAAAAAAAAAAAAAAAAAAAGTCTCAGCTAGACTCCTGATCCAGGATAGTGCACATACCTGAGTTGTTTTCAGTCACCAATTTGATGGTAATTTGTTACACAGCAATGAGAAAATAAAGAACACAGGGTATCTCTACTGAGTGAGCAGGATATGGGGAACTTCACACACACACACACACACACACACACACACACACACACACACACACACACACACATGCCTAACTCAGAGGGGCTCCTGGTCTTTGTTCTATTCTGTCTGCTCTCAGCTCCCCACCCCCACCTGCTGACCAGTTTTTTTTTTCTCACTTCCCAGGGGCAGTCACCATCATGGGGATCCAGGGCCAGCACCTCTATTTTCTTGATGATGCCCACATCCAAGCCACCAACGTAGAACTCTTCCACAGAGCCACAGCTGAAGCCTCGCTTCCCCTGAGGATAGTCCAGCCAGATGCGGTTGCTGCGCTCATCATCTTCCCCGATGAGCAAGACGAAGGCCCGGCTGTCTGTGGCTGCATCCTTGTGCTTCCCAGTGGTCACTGACACATAGTAGGGAATCACTGCAAGAGACAGAGTGAACCCCACAACGGGCCGCATGGGCAAAGGTGCTGTCCTGTGCACTTGGGGACTTGAAATGACCTTGGGAGGGCTGTCTCCTTCCTTCCTTGCTCAGAGACCAAGTACGACAAAGCCTTCCAGATAGGTTGCAAGTTCATGGCGGTGTGCGTCTACTCTACAGGCATGAGGCAGTCAGTCATGCCCAATGGGAAGAGCCAAGAGAGTGTTCTTGCATCCCCTGGAGTGTCAAGCTTCTGAAAGCCTGATTGGTCAGTTATCTTACTTGACTCTTTCCCTACCAGGCAAGGAAGCATAAAGGCAACTTTCTACCAGGTCTGGGGGTTACATGCTCCAAACACTAACACTAACTGTTGAGAAGGCAGGCCTCACAGAAAGTGGAAATTGGGGAATATTAACCCAAGTGTCTTATACCTGTAACACAGTTGAGGGAAGTCCTAGAGGCATCCATTTCCAAACCAAACCAGTTAGGGTGGTCAGCAGACAAAATCATTTAGGTCATGTAGCTTAGATTCTAAACATCTGTCAAAACCCATTTTCCTTCCACTAGAGGTGATTCTATAGGCAAGCCGGGATTGCTGCAAGGGATTCTGGGGTAATTGTTTTAAGGTTGGCTCTCCTGGAAGGAATGCCCTTCTATCCATTCTGCCGAGGTTATGGATGTGATGGGTGGTACTTCAGCTTTCATCTTGGAAGGTGACCTTGGGTGGCCTTCAACATAGGAGCCTTTTATGAGGTTTCAGAGTGAGCAGGTTGTAGGAACCTAACTTCCTGGGCATCCCAGAGCTGTTGTGTTAGCTTTAGATAGCTTGCCTTTGAATTTTTATGTACTAGAAAAATTCTGAAGCTGTTTAGGTCACTGTCTCCAGGTCCCTGTCATTTGTAGTCAGGAACCAACAAGTTAAGAACCTGTCTTCTGGCCTGTTGTCCCAGCTAACAGGAAACATGGCCGTGCTGCAGTAGACTTAGGTTGTGTATCTCTCAGAGCTGTCCAGACCAGCCTCTCCTGGCTGGAGTCACTAGTGTGGGACTCTTTACCAGCATACGCCTTGTTTAGCTCCCTTGGCCTCTCCACAGGTGATCCCAGGACAGCCACTTTGTGGAATGAGAAGGTGGCATGTAGATAGAATGTAAATCTCTGCTGGCCCCATAGACCTACACCATGCTTTCCTAGAGGGAGACATCATGCTCATGACACTCTTAAATCTAAGAAGGCAGGGTTTTTAAATGTTCAAGAAGTAAGCATAGTATGGCCTTATCTCAAAAATATGATTGGTGAAATGAATTTCTCTAGGAGTTAGGATACTGCTTCATGGAGGAAGTAGGCACAAAGAATCTATCCAAAGCTGGGTTTATTGTCAGAATGGATTTTAAGTTCCCAAATAACAGCTTGGGACCTCCTTCCTGAATACCAGTACATACTAGATCACACTTTGGGTGGCAGATTTCCACAGCTGGTCCTGCTATCTGTTGGGTTATTCCAACTTACCTGGCCAGAAATCATGTTCTAAGAGTCTGGGTGAAGGCAGAGTTCAAGACAATACTCTTCTGGTGGATGAAGGAAACCATCACCCAAACTCTATCCATTGCTTCATTTGGAGGGAGCTCCTCTCTGCCTGCTCACCTCACAGAGCTGCTGTACATGTGGACACTGCAAAGTGCAAAGCTCAAGACCCACTTCACCAGTAACAGTGAGGCTGTAACCAGAGCCTGTCTGAGAACAGTTTAAAGTCTGTGCCTGTTCATCTTCCAAAGAGCTCCCTGCTCTGCTTACCAGGGCCATCCTGAACATAGTCAGCCATGGGTCCTGTCACTGTGGCAATGTCCACATCTGCCATCTTGGAACTCAGGGCAATCTCCCAGAAGTCAGCGGGGCTGCTGCAGTTGCTACTGCGGTCCCCGGTGTACTCCTGCAAGGAAAAGCACAGCCTGGGCTCACTGCAGCGCAGGCACCTTCCGCTCCCAGGATCTTCCCTGGGCATGAAAGGGACACGAGGCTGTGGTTGTATGGAGGTCCCAGTATCCCTCGTGGTACCTTCTCATAAAAGAGCCTCTCCAGCCGCCCATCCTCCTTCTTCAGGGATAGCCAGCGCCCGCACAGGAATAGAAACTCGTCCTCATTGGTGTCATTCCAGATCTCCACCTTCTCCACATACCAGTCTGCACACCATTTGGTGTTGTCATGGCGGAGCTTGATCTTGTAGATGACACCCAGGTCAGCAGCCTCAATGATGAAAGTGTCGGCCTAGAGAGTCCAAGTATGGGGACTTAGCAGGGACACCTCACTTTAAGCCCCACCAACCACATCCTCCTAATTACTGGGTTGATGGGGATCCACTTTAGAACCAAATTAAAGTCCAAGTTCAAGGTTCCCTTCCTCACTACCCCCATTACACAGTCCACTCCTGCATGCCCCTCCTTGGGGAAAACTGCCTTTGCCCAGACTTTTCTTGGGATGAGCCTGTGGGCATTTGAAAGAAAGTGTTTCACAAACCATGTGAAATGCTTGAAGGCTATGACCAATGCAGATGAGGGATACTGGCCCATTTCTGTTAACCAGAAACTGCAACCATTGAGTTCACTGGCGTCAAATTGAGCACACCCTCCACTTGTTTGCCTCTGTGTGAAAGGAAGATCTTAACATGTGCACAAGAGTGTTTGCAGCAGGACAGCTCTAATAGAGGGAAATAGAGGCCATCTGGGACCTCACCCCTTTGGGAACAGCAGAGTAACTATGGGACAACATTCTCCATGGAGTGGATCTGTGTGTGGTTACAAAGAAGAACCAGCCCCATCTCTGTTTGAATATCGTGGTGTAGAAAGAGTCCCACTGCATCCCACTGAAATGCCAAAGGCAAGATGAGAGGCATTCACAGTACTGTGCCTCATAGGCAAAGGAGAAACCACACCACTGCACTAAAACATGGAGCTTCTATGGCACATGGGCGTGAATACAGAGAAACCATGTGGGAAGGCATAGAGGAGACAGTGTGGCTACTCTTCAAAATATGCTCAGTGGCCTGCTGGGGACACGGCAGGTGGGCTGTGCAGGGCAGGTCCTGAAAGTCGCAGATAACCATGGCGGATTTGGTGATATCCATGATCTGTGTGTCCCTGGGGGATCGTAGGTAGTGAGTGCTCTGCTAGCGTTGGATGGGCTGACTGGTGGGCTGGTAGCTCGTGCTAGGGAGACCAGGTTGGGGTCAATGCAGAGGCTGATGAGGAAGGGGCTGGTGGTGACGGAGCAGGATGCTTAAGGAGAGACTCTCTCAGATCAGGCACCTGGTTGAATTTGGGCAGGAAAAGGATGCTGATAAGAAGACGGCATCAAGAATGACCCCTGGCTCCCAGAGCAAGTGGCTAGAGAAACAGAAGCTTTCAAATTCTCAGCAGTGAATTGAGGATTGCACAAGGAACTGGGCCAGGTGCACCTTCAGCTCTGCTTGAGGGGCAACAAAACCAGAAGAACTGGGCACGGTGGCCCATGTCTGTAATTCCAGCACTTGGCAAGTGGAGGCAGGAAGACTGTCATGAGTTCCAGGTCAGCTCGGGTAACAGGGAGCTCTGAGTCAACCTGGGATATAGGGTGAGATCCTGTCTCAAAAGACCCCAGCAAATAAACCAGCAAAAACTCCAAACAACAAAACCAGAAGAAGCAAAGAGAATGTGATGGGGCAGACTCCTTATAGTGGAGAGAGAGAGAGAGAGAGAGAGAGAGAGAGAGAGAGAGAGAGAGAACTGAATTTGAACTTAGCGAATAGATGCCATAAGTATTTGTTGAGCACCTATTCTTGGCCAGGCTCTGGCATGAACAAAAGTCTGTCCATCAGCCACATGAGACACACTGCTGTTATACCGATGCATTTACCAGACGTCAACAGCAGGCAGCCATGGCAGGTGGGTGCAGGAGAGCTCTCCCAAGCCTTAACAAGGCACAGCATGGTGAGCTAACTGGGCACAGTTGGGTATTTCATGGTTTAATTCAGCTGGCTTTCAGTCACTCAACACTATTTTATGAGATGAAGAGATGTTAAGTAACTTGCCCAAGATTATATAACTAATTCGTATTAGAACTAGTATCCAAGTCCAGATGATCTGAGCCCATTGTCTGGGTGTTTGATCAAATGTATCCCTGGTATAGAGCCAAGGACACCACAGGAATCCACTTTGACCTCTTTGGCTTTCTATTTTTCCAAAATGGAAAGAGCAAGATAGGTCCTCTCCTAAGTACAGTTGCATCTCTTGTTTCTCTCTCTCTCTCTCTCTCTCTCTCTCTCTCTCTCTCTCTCTCTCTCTCTCTCTCTCTCTCTCTGTGTGTGTGTGTGTGACTTGTAAATTATCTTCCCCGGTATGATGTACATTTCCTCTTTCTCAGTACAGAGGTCTAATTGGGAATCACATTTATTATTCACAATTCAGAAGCAAGAAATTAAAGTTAAAGGCTGGTGGCTTTTATCTAGATGACTAATAAGAACATTGGGACATACCTTCTGAGGACCCAGCAGACAGACTGGGGCTTCTTCTAAGAGCCTGGCACATGGGGCCACCAAGGCACTACAGATCTACTTACAGGACACCTGCTACTTGTCCCAGGGCTAATTCCCTCCTCACTAGTAGCAGGTGCTTCAGTACAAAAGGGCCTGTCTGGCTGCGAGTCGGGCTCTTGGGGCATGTATGGCTGCCTACACGCACATGGCCGTGGGCAAGACTGCAGCTGGACCAGTTCCAGGTCTGCTCTCCTCGGAGATCCCCTGGCCTGTTTTGGGTAGACTGAGGCACATGGAGATAAAGGAAGGGAACTGGGGATCAAGTCAAGGGTGTGGCACGGCATGCAGGAGAGGGAGGCTGAGCTTCATGAAGGGAGGATTTGGATGGACTTGTCCTTCTTGTAAGTCACAGCACGTCAGAGCCAGAAGTGCCGCAGATACCGACTGGCCACATGACTTCCCAGCCTTTTTATAGTCACAGAACCTTAGCAGAGAGCATGCTGTCTCTCAATACACAGGCCTGGTCGAGGTGAGTCTACCTGGGTGACAGTGAGGAACCTCTTTGCTCCCCAGTATTATTTCTATTGTTCCTGAGGGCCTCCGCTCTGTACAGCACGCTTTAGCCAATTTATAGTTGATTCTCCATCCTTGAGACAGGGAGTCTAAGGTCAGCAGAGGTGAATCAGACTAGGAGCTGAAGGCAGAACCAGGCTTTCAGGTCCCTAACCAAGCCTCAGTCAGGCCAGCCTCTGCCACCCTGCAGCCTCTACCTCCACACACATGATGCCCACAGTGAGCTGGCTTTCTGAAGAGGCCATTCCCACACAGAGGACAATTTAGAGCTCAGGTCTACCTTCCACTCCACCCCACCCCATAGATAGGACCCAGAGAGGTGCATTGGCTGGGAAAAGGGAACAGTCTGTGCTTACAGAGGAAAAGCAATGTCAAAAGCCCAAAGGAGGATGCCTAGCACCCCACAGAGTTCCAAGACCCCTCAGGAGCAGAAGATCTGGCATTCAGATGACTAGACCCAGGGAGGAGACAGGCGGCACGAACCCAGTGTGTCTCTCCTACCGTTCCTCTCTCGAACTTGTTGGTGCGGTTCTCTGATTTGCCAAGGTACCGCTCCCCGGTGTCCCCGAGGTCTCCGTAGATGGTGATGTAGACCTTGGCATCTGTCCCTGCCCCAGGAACGTTCCCTGTGAAGATCTGTACCGAGTACAACACAACTGCCCATCAAGTTGGACAGGCAGACAGACAGACAGACAGACAGACAGAGGGAAGAGAAGGGCGGCAGCACATTAGCTCTAGGGAGCAGAGTTTGTCGGTACACAGGTCCAGGCCCTGAAGCAGCAGCATCTTCCTCTCACTACTTGGTCGGTGGCACACTGTATGGGACCATCACTCAAGAGTCACTCATCAGATCTGGACTCAGGAGGCTCTCAGAGAAGGAAAAGATGGAGTTTTTGGAGTGTCCCCCAATCCATCCACCCACAGTGTCCACTCCAAGGAGACTGCCTTAAGCACATCATCACTATGGCACTGAGTCTTTATGTTGTGATACTGACAAGGCAAACCTTCCCATCTAATTAGCGTGTGTGTGTGTGTGTGTGTGTGTGTGTGTGTG